AAAAAAATTTTTTTTAGAGTAAATGTTTATTGTTGTTTTAAGTCACTACATTTTGGGGGTAATTTTGTTATGTGTTAATAGGTAAATAATATAGGCTATAAATTCCTTGAAAGTGGGATTCCCTGCCCCTCCCCGCCTTGAAGAGTATAGCATATTCAAATATATGGTGGAGTATGAGTGGAGAAATTAACTTCCCTTTGAAATTCAGCACAATGCAACATGATGTTAATCTGTCAGACTATTCCAACCATTTTTTTCCTCCCTGAGGGTGTTATTTAAGATTCCCCAGGGTGGAGGGGAGGACAAGGGAGTAGAACTCAGGTCTCAGGTGAGTATGATTATTTGTCATTTTTGAATCTCCCCAAACTCCCTGTTCTCAGTTCTGAAGTGGAATATTTTCTTAAGCCTGGGTATATAGGGAAGCTTTGGTAAATGAGGAGTTTCCAATATCCTATGGAAACTCACCTGGGCAAAGAAGTGAGACAATGCTTGGAGGGGAAGCAAAGGGATACCTCTCTTCACAGGATAAATTCAGGCACAGGTCGTATCCTAGGGACCAGGTGAACCCTGCACAGGCAGCCAGAACCAGCACTCAGCCCACTGTGAATCTGAATGGGCAGGAAGGGACCTGAGTGAGGAAGGGCAGCTCTGGGGGCAATGGAGCAGAGATCAGAGACGGATCTGCATTCGATCGATCCAAACTCAGTAGATAGGAATTCAATGGATGTTACCCAGATGAGTATCACTTTCTTTTTGACACAGGAGTTTTAGATTCTCTTAGTTACAAGGTTGACAACAAGAGCCTCCAGCCTTCTCAGTAGACAGAAGATTAGGAGGTCTGGACCTCTGAACTTCACGTCTCTGTGGTGGGGGGAATCCCTGTGGCGTAGTGTGGGAATGGAGATAGTGAGTCTGGAGGCACTTTGGGAACCCAGAACTTTCACTTCCCCCACTCCTCTAGTACTTGCTTCCCTTAGCTCAGACATAGCTTATGCCTAGTCACGTGGGGGTCTGTGGTGCTAGACTAGTCACCCTCAACAAGGGAAAGTCAATCAGTTCTCAAAATTGAATAGCACATGTTGGAGAAGGAAGATATGCTAGACACCATGCAGCCCAATGTCCTCATTTTACAGACAAGGAAACTGAAGCCCAGAGAAAATAAATGACTTGCCCAAGGTCATGCAGCTAACGTGGGATAGAATCCAGGTGTCCTTATCCCAAATTAGCTCCTTCCACGATGCCACACTGCCTTCACCCTACTTCCATCATACATTGTTTTATCCTACTAACTTGTAACTTCAAGTTCTGGGTCCTATTCAGAAAGGTCCATTTCCAGACTCTTCTTTTCCAGTGGAGGAGTGAAGAGCCTCTGCTACTGTCTTTAGGTTAAGTAGAGCATTACCGCCCTTCCCTGCTTCCCTTTCTCCTGCTGTTCTCAAGGAGGAACTGAGTCTATGGAGGAGGGCTCTCGTAAGTTTCGGGCTCCATTCAGTCTGTGGCAGGGGAAGCTGATGGGCACAACATCCTGGGATGCCCTTCACCTTGGCAGGCTGATTGTACCCAACTGGTGGCCACGGCCTAGTGCCCAATGGCAGGGAGGGCGCCCACCCATATCTTTACCTGATGCCTGGCATCCACAGATGCCAGAAGGTTAGTTAGATACTTATGCTGAATCCTGCCTGGTCTCCTGGTCCTGGTTTGTGTCACTTTGAGATCTGTTATGTGTCACCATTTGTTTATTTGAGTTTTAGGGGGGTGGTCCCTCCATGGATTTAAAGATACTGGCATTTCCAGATTGGCAGGAATGACACCTCGCTGCCAACACAGAATCTGTGCTAAACAGCACAGATCCTGGACTTCAGGAAAGTTCTTCAAATGTCTCTATGATCCCCCTCTTCCCATCTCTCCTCCACCGTAGAGTTCTTTGTATCACCCCTTCCTAGTCTGAAACCAAAAGCTGACAGGTCATAGTCTCAGGCTAAAGTTTCTGTGAAAGGGAAGGAAGAGAAATATGCAGGTTAGGATGACTGGGGACTGGTAAGCAGCAAAGGCACCCTGCTTACTCTCTGCCACAGGCTTCAGAAGACTCTGGAATGTACCTATTGCCCAGGAATTTCCACTGCAGTCCCGGGCAGCCTTAGACTGTATCTCCACCTGCTGGACACCAAGAAGATCGACAACTCTGTGTCAACTCTTCAGACATAGAATTAAATAAAACTTCACAATTACTCCACCTTCATTCCAAGGTTAAATTATTCCTTCTCGGAATCTGTTGAAGTTACAGTTTTCTCTCGGAAGACTGCCTTTTTCGGAGACTGGATTCAAGGGAGACCTGGGTACAGCTTCCCCCATATGCTGTCCTTTATCGAAAACTCAGAGGCTGAATATAGAGCCCTGTCTCCTTGTTCAGCTGCCAGAGGTGTAGGGAGGTTGAAATCTATGCCCCTCCTCACACAGGTTAACTATGTCCACAAACAGAAAGCAGCAGGCAGGTGGGCTTATGCTTGGGCACAGATCACTAGGTACTCGTTAGCCTTAGAGGCCAGGAGAAGGAAATCCTAGGTAAAGAATTGCCCTTATTTGTCTATCCCCTGCCTGACCCAGGTATGGGAGAAAGTGGGGGCATCCTCTACTGTTCTCTTTATACTCACTGGCTGTCCTCCTCTTCCTATGCTCCTAGCAGAGACAACACCACTAGAACCCACTAGCGTCATTCAGTCCATGTTGAAACCATGGGCTAGCTAACCCCTAGAGTCCTCAGGCTGTATCTTCAGAGGTGAAGGTCATTTATAAGTAGTGATAGCTCTCAAATGAATCTTTTATTGGTGAAATGGGACAATGTCAATAAATACCCTCAGGATTGATCAGGACATACAATAACATCAATCTGTGGCGGTTACAGGGCTAGGCAAGCAAATGACAGCAGATCTAGAAATCTACTCTCCTTTCCCAGGGGATATTGTGATTTGCCCAGGTTAAGTAAAAAGCAGCCATTTCTTTACTTTTTGGTTGCCTGACCTTGACTGAGAGGATGTCCTTTAATGGCTTTCAAATTTTTGTTTTAGAAGGAAGAAATCGAGGCGTTAAGACCGCGTATGGGGATAATCTTGTGCTCCATGTACGTCACGTCATTTGTGTATTAGGTGCCCTCAGTTTATTCATTACGGCTAAAATGTATTGAGGGCTTACTGTGAACACTCCTAAAAACTTTAATGCATTTTCCCCCATTTATACCTTTAAATGATCTTATGATTCGGGTACTGCGCTTTATTATACTCCTGTTCTTAATTGCTACTACGCTATACTCTTTACTTTGTGATTGATGTGCAGATTTTTTAAGGACTTGGAGCCTTAAAACTCAAATAGTATAATTATCTTCCTTGTAAATTCCTAAAAAGCCTTTATTCAAAGTAATATGTGGTTTCAGAAACTTTACTGTACCTGAGAATTATACGAGGTGTATTGTGAAAAATAGATTCCTGTGTGCTGCTTCCAGATATTCTGATTCAGGAAATCTGGATGAAAGCCCAGGAATCTGCATTTTAAATTAAGCACCCAAGTAATTATGATGTAGGTGATATTTGGATTATGCTTTGAGAAACACTGCCTTTGCCTATAAACGGCTTGAGAGTAGGGCTGTAACTATAACAAATCTTCGTGTGTACATCCCATTTAATTTTGCTGCATGTAGCAATAGATGTATCATTGGGGTTTGTATCATCTGTGGCTAAGAACTAAACCCTGCTTATTCACTCTTAACTCTCTTTTTTTGTGTGTGTGTGCACTGAGAAGAGGCAGCCCTGGAACCTCCCTGTCTGTTAGAGGCCCTTGTGCTCTATGTGAAGTGGCTTTTTCTTTTACTAACCTGAAATATCTCTGGGCAAAGGTTTGGTGAAGGCTGTACAATTTGACATATTGGCCCTCGTAATTCTGCTGTCTTCACTGGAGACGGCTGAAAAGAGGCTGTTATTTTTCTCTACCTTTTGAAATGCACAATGCAGGGGGCAGGGTGAAGGGAGGAGAGTCCAGGGACCAAGCTAGAGTTGGTAAACAAACGAAGGAAGCATATTAGCAGGGGAGAAATGAACGGCTGCACAAAACTCCTGTCATGCCATAGCATTCTCTGAAGACAGCACCAGTCTCCTATTTTGAAGGAAATAACAACAACAAAAAACAGTATTGGCAAACTGACCCTCCGCTAACACTTGAAGGTTTGTCTGGGAATGGTGTTCTGAAAAGCCGTTTACATCAGAGAAGCAAGAAGATGAAGGACAAGTCTTGCAGGAAAAAAAAAAAAAAATTAGGCCAAAAAATACAGCAAGCACCTCAAATAGCCCAAAGGAGGCTGCAGGGACCTGGGGAAAGCTCCATTTAATCTCTGGCCTAGCTAACATAGCCTAGAGGATGCTTCTTAATGCACTTTTTATAACAAGCTTGGCTTCTGAGGTTGTGATGAGCCCTTCTAGCTCCTAGAATCTTTGAAGAATCTCTTTCCCCCTTAACTCGGGGGACAGGTTAACCAAAACTCCAAATTGGGAAATTAGGGAACTTCGAAGCTGCTCTGTGTGTTTTAAAAGACTGTATTTGATTCAGTATGGTGAAGGCAAAATCCCCTCCACTTTCTAGGTTCCTTTCTTTCCCACTGCTCCTCTCACCTCATCTGGATGGCCTCAGAGAATGTTTTAAGGTTGACAGGGAACTTTTACAGAATGATCAAAAGTACAGGGAGCCCTAGAGATGGTTGCATAACCTTCCTCCTCTTTACTTTAAAAATGCTTTTTTCAGTTGAATAACTAACAAACCCAAAATTTGGGGTTGGATTAAATCTTGAAGGTCAGAGAAAAGAAGAATGAAGCACAAACAGTTTAAATGATGTTTCCAAGGTCACAGGGCTGCTCTTAGATTCAAGGTAAGTTTGTACCGACTCCTAGTTTAACATTACCTCTCTTAATTGCTTTCGTAACCACTTTTCTCAAATGGTTTTGCGTGCCCACTTAGTACTCAAGTACTGTAGCTACAGAATTTTTGGCTTTTTTTGGGGAGTGGGGAGGTTGGCATATGGTTATCTTTTCCTGTGGACTTTGAAAATAACTATTTCCTTAAAAAAAAAAAAAGTCTTACCTCAATCTTACTTTTTGAAAGCAAACATTCAAAAGCCCCAACCCACCCTAGAACAAACCCTCAGTGCTCCAGGTTCTGATCACGCAGTTTCCTTTTTCCTCCCTCTGCTGACTACACATTTGGATGTTTACACTGGTCAGTAGCTCTGCAAGAAGTCTGACACTATATATGTCGTGGGATTGTTTGTCAGCAGCTTCCTGATCCCTGGGTTGTACTAGAGTGCTACGTTCTCACACTCGGTATCCCCGTGGCCATCAAGGCTGTAGCTCCGTTGGTGGGTTAGTTTGGCAGTGTTCTGCGAGTCATTCCTGGAGGCCTCAGCTACAGCCTGCTTCTCCAGCTATTCCAAGGATTTGGTAAGCACTTCGTAATTCTCTGTATTAAATTTCTTTTCTGCTTAAAATATGGAGATATTGAGAGTGGTTTCTGTTTCCTATTCTAAACTGGCGGATACAGGCATTTAGAAGCTAATCACAACGCAACTCAAAATGAGTACTAACAGAGAACAGCAGGAGCCTAGACCACAGAGCCTGGAGTTAACCAAATAGATAACACTTGAGTTGGAACTTGAAGGTGGAATATGCTAAGCAGAGAATCACTGGGAACGCGAGGGAAACAAGATGCACCAAGGTGTTGTCGTTAAAGAGCACAATGCGTTAGAGGGATGGGGAGTTCACTATGGCTGGACTACGAACAGGATCGGGAGAGGTGAGGCTGGAGCAACTGTAAAATGTGGTGGGAGTAAGAATACTGCCTTTGCGGGGTAGCAGACCTGACTCCAATTCCAGTTCCTCCATGGAGTAACTAATGGTCAAATCTTGTATATTCTATGATCCTCAGTTTCCTTATCTACCAAGTGGGGACATAATAATATCTACTTCATGGGGAATTAAATGTGACAGTTCATATAAAGTGCTTTGTACAGTGCTTGGCACAGACCAAGTGCTCAAAAAGCCTTTGCTATTATCATTAGGTAAACTGGAAACCGATTACTAAATATCTTGAAGGCAGGTGGAGGATAAACTGAAATGGGAAAAACCTAGTGGCTGAAAGACTACTTAGGAGGTTACTGTAATAATCCAGGCAGGGACGATGATTGGAAATAAGGCAGTGGCAGTGGAGATACAAAGAACTGGTTGGCTTCAGAAGTCATCATTGGTATTGAAATTCCAGGATCTGGTGACTAATTGAATGTGAGGGATTCTGAAAAGACCAGGCGAACAGAAACATCATTAACCTAGATTAGTCACGTATGAGGGAGAGCAGGTCTAGATAGCAGCTGAAGCTCAAGGCTTTAAGTGCCTCCAAGTCCAAGGCCTGTTCCAGGAGAGTGGCCTTAAGTAATTCTTTTGTGCATCACATTGATATGGCTCTTACCACAAGCAACACAAGAAGCAACCTGCTGCTTCTTGAATGTCCGAGGGAGTAGGACTAAAATAGACCACTGGTCCTGCAAATTAGTAGGTTGGGTGGAGACAGAACAGAGTGGGCAGACTGCAATGGATTAAGGGATAAGTGGGAACTGCAGACCAACTATATATAGGCAATTCTTTCAAGAAATCAGGCACTGAAGGGAAGAAGCAAGCAAGCAATAGCTCGAGAGGGAGTGTGGAGGTTTCTATATATTGATTTGCTTAACATGATACTCTTCTGGTGTACCGCTCTGGAAAGCTGGACTACATTTCCCATAATCCCTTGTAAACTAGGGTTCAGCCGTGATTTCGGTTCTGCCAATCAGATGAACCATTGTACGATTCTAAAGCCCGCAGCGATTAAGAGAGGGTACAGGGCATCCATTTGGGGATGCTGACAGTGGCAGAGGTAGTGTGCTTCCTGAACTGGCAGCTGCAGTGGCAGCTTCCTTACTGTAGTAGAAGCAGCAGCTTCCTGGGTGTTATTTCTGGAAGTCCAGTCTAGAGTTTGTTTCTTCAGTCTTCCCAATAGTTCTGTGATCCATTTAATGCCCCGTAACACGTCCCTTCCTGCTTAGACTAGCTCAAATAGGTGTTTTCTGCAACCGAACCCTGATTAATATGGGGGAGAGGGTATGTGTTGTTGTTGTTTTTAATTTATTAATTTATTTATTTTTTGTCTGTGTTGGGTCTTCGTTTCTGTGCGCGGGCTTTCTCTAGCTGCAGCGAGCGGGGGCCACTCTTCATCGCGGTGCGCGGGCCTCTCACTGTCGCGGCCTCTCTTGTTGCGGAGCACAAGCTCCTGACGTGCAGGCTCAGTAGTTGTCGCTCACGGGCCCAGTTGCTCCGCGGCATGTGGGATCTTCCCAGACCAGGGCTCGAACCCGTGTGCCCTGCATTAGCAGGCAGATTCTCAACCACTGTGCCACCAGGGAAGCCCGTATGTGTTTTTTTTTAAAAGAATGAAATGTAACATTAGCATTATTGTAGTTTAAAGAGTTAAAGATTAAAGAAGACAACCTATTTATTACTGAAAAATATAACATATAAAGAAAAAGAAACAGAATTAAGGTAAAGAGAAAAGAGGGAATAACTTACGGAAGATATTGGAAGACAGAAAAAGTGTCTGAGAGCCAGCCTCCAGGATGGCTCAATGATTCTTGCCTCCTGGTATTCATGCTCCTTTAACTTCTCCTCCTACAATGAAAAGGGCTCACCAAGTGTAACCAAAAGCATGTTATGGAAATGATGGAGTGTGACTTCTAAAGTTGTTAGGTCACAAAGAATTCACAGCTTCCTCCTTGCTCTAAACTTACTCACTCTGGGGGGAAGGCATCTGACATGTTGTGAGGGCACTCAAACAGGCTGTGCAGAGTCCCACATGGTGAGGAACTGAGGCCTTCTGCCAACAACCAACACTGACTTGCCAAATATGTGAGGGAGCCACCTTAGAAACAAACCCTCCAGCCTGTCAAGTCTTCAGAAAACTGTGGCCCTGACTGACATCTTGACTGCAACTACATGAAAGATCCCAAGCCAGGATTACCCAGCTAAGCCACGCCTGAATTCCTCACCCACAGAAACTGGGAGGGTAACAACATTTAGTTTTTGTTTGTTTGTTTGTTTTTGCGGTACGCGGGCCTCCCACTGCTGTGGCCTCTCCCGTTGCGTTGTGGAGCACAGGCTCCGGACGCACAGGCTCAGCGTCCATGGCTCACGGGCCCAGCTGCTCCGCAGCATGTGGGATCTTCCCAGACCAGGGCACGAACCCGCGTCCCCTGCATCGGCAGGCGGACTCTCAACCACTGCGCCACCAGGGAAGCCCTAGTTTTGTTTTAATCCACTGTGCTTTGGGGAAATTTGTTATGCATCAATAGCTGGGATATAGTACAGGGATGAAGTTAGCCTTGGAGAAGAAGTATACCTCTGACGTAAAGGAAAAGATGGATGTCACAAGAATTCAAGTCTAGAGATGGGAAAAGAGGAAGTTAAGTTTGATAACCAGTATTTTCTCTAGAGAGTAAGAGGCAATGCCATCTGCTGAAAGTAGGGGTGGGAAGTAGGGACTATAAAGTTGAGGAGAAGAATAAAAAGGATGCAATAGTTACCAGGTAAAGCTGAAAAAAGCCAAACAGGAATGGGTACTTAAGAAATCATACATCTGCAGTGGAGTCAGTTGGCATATTTATGTGATTTTTCTGTCACTACGCTTGATAACCTAGAGGAAATAAAGTAAGAGATGGCAGGTTTCGCTTGACTTGAGAATTGGTGAAGCGGAGACAGTAGAAGAACAACAGGGTCAAGGGAACTCAGGGTGTTGACTTAGGCCACTGAAGTGACTGACCATGGAATCCAAACTGGTAGACATGGAAATGAGTTGCGGAGGAAACGCACAGCCTGAGAGAATGAGAGGTTGAGTGCAGAATCAACATTCAGAGAAGCAGAATGGTTATAGAAGCCCAAAGCAGCAATTTAGGAATCAGAAGTTGCAGGTTATGGTCACTATTAACAAGCTGTGTATCCTTGGTAAAGAGAAAATTTTCAGGGCCTGTTTTCCCCTCATCCTTGGTTAAAATATGTAAAACGCTAAGAACAGTGGCTTGCTTACAGTAAGCACTCTGCAATGATTTTAGCAAGTATTCTTAGATGTTTTAAAATGATATACTATTTAATACACACATATGAAGCGTTACAAGATAAAACACTGGGAAACCCACCACCCAACCTATTCAACAGAATACTACTAATATACTGTGTTTTTTCCTGATCCCATCCTCCTGGCTTCTCCTCTAGAGAAAATAACTATCTTGAATTTTGTATTTATCATTCTTTTTCCTTAAAAAAAATACGTTATGTTCCACATTTGTACAGGGCCTGTTTCTTTATAGGTAAGATGAAGCTTTGGATTAGCAGCTCTCTAAACTCCCTTCTAGCTTTAAGAGTATATGAGATATGATAGGTGGATAGGAAAGCTACATACCTAGCAGAACCATATTAATGTTTATTTTTCAAGGGTTTTATAAAGCTAAAACACTTGCTCTTCTGTTGAAATCTCCAATTCAACAAAAGGATATCTCAATGGAACTTTTTTTTTAAGAGTCTGTGGGTTTTTTTTTTTTTCATAAATTTATTTATTTTTGGCTGAGTTGGGTCTTTGTTGCTGCATGCGTGCTTTCTCTAGTTGTGGTGAGCAGGGCCTACTCTTCACTGCGGTGTGTGGGCTTCTCATTGCGGTGGTTCTCTTGTTGTGGAGCACAGGCTCTAGGCGTGCAGGCTTCAGTAGTTGTGGCGCATGGGCTTAGTTGCTCCACACACAGCATGTGGGATCTTCCCGGACCAGGGATCGAACCCATGTTCCTTGCATTGGCAGGCATATTCTTAACCACTGCACCACCAGGGAAGCCCAAGAGTCTGTGAGTTTTTTTTAAAAAAATTGTTTATTTATTATCTTCGGCTGCGTTGGGTCTTTGTTGCTGTGCATGGGGTTTCTCTAGTTGCAGCGAGCAGGGGCTACTCTTCGTTGCGGTGCATGGGCTTCTCATTGTGGTGGCTTCTCTTGTTGTGGAGCACGGGCTCTAGGTGTGTGGGCTTCATTAGTTGTGGCACACGGGCTCAGCGGTTGTGGCTCACGGGCTCTAGAGCACAGGCTCAGTAGTTGTGGCACACAGGCTTAGTTGCTCCGCGGCATGTGGGATCTTCCTGGACCAGGGCTCAAACCTGTGTCCCCTGCACTGGCAGGCGGATTCTTAACCACTCTGCCACCAGGGAAGCCCCCTCGACTGAACTTCTAATTTCAAGATCAAGACTTTCCATCACTTTCAATTTGCACCTCTGCTATAAAGTTATACTCTAGAGAAAACCAACACAAGGAGCTAAATAATCTAAGCCCCTGACACTGTCCAATGAAATCCTGAAACTCAAGCCTGAGGAAATAGGACTGAAACAGATGAACTGGGAAAGCATACTTTATTTCAGTGACAAGTATTTTAATAAAAATTAAGAGGCATGGTTGGGTTCATATGCAGTAGCTTTTAATACAACCTGGATTTAATTTCTTCCACATATATGTGTATATATAAGTAGTATAAAGTAAAACAACTAACTTTGTCTTTTTAACTTTCATCAAAGGTGCTTACACTATTTTAGTTTCATAAAAAACCATCTTTAGGGCTTCCCTGGTGGCGCAGTGGTTGAGAGTCCACCTGCCGATGCAGGGGACGCGGGTTCGTGCCCCAGTCCGGGAAGATCCCACGTGCCGCGGAGTGGCTGGGCCCGTGAGCCACGGCCGCTGAGCCT